TTTACGGTGCTAGTGAGTAGCTGAACAGTCTGGTGCTTTTCGCGAACCACGTCTCCAGAATTACCAACTGTCTGACAATCCCCTAACCCAACCGCAACACGACTTAACGAAACCCATCTCACAACAAAGGTTACCTGTTTCGCCCGTTCGTGAGAACACATCTTCTGCTTCAGGCGGATGATGATTTTCTCAGCTCCTCCGTTCCCTCTCTCACGCTGCCGCTCTGTCAGACGACCCTAACAAATCTTCATTTCCCTCCCAACTATCCTGCCTCCAGCCACCTGCTTTGCTTTAGAGCGGCTCGTCTTGGCAGCACGCTTCGGGAAACGATCGGCGCCGGTTGGATTAGCGGCTGGCCACGTCACTAGAGTTTTGGAGTTGATGTTGCCACCCATACTTCGATTTTGGCCGTTCAAACAGCCTACGTGTCCCAAACTGGAGACACATGATATCGTTTTGATCGCGGATTACAGCTTCCGCATTAGGCGGCCCAATCAGAAGCTGGAGATAGTGCTGATGTCGATGCTGTTCCGATCCACCGAAGTCCAGGGTGGCATAATTGGGACCACCACTGAAGCCAGCAGTGCAAGATCTCAAAGGTAGCCTCTTCTCACCACATAACGAAGCCCAACGGTCCGCAATCAGACGATCCGCACGGTCATCAGGCTCCTTCTGATCTCAGGCTCTTCATCTCGGAATTTTAGTTCGTCTCCGTAGCATCCTTGCCATTTTTGCCAGACGAGCTTGGCTCTACCACTTCCGAAGCATCACTACCTTCTTACGTGCTCACCTGTCAACCTGCCATTGGGTCGCGGCGCTTCACAACCTCGAACGTGGGAGTTTCTGCCACGTTACCGAGTCAGCTCCGCCTGCAGATGGCAGTGATTAGCAATCTGATTCCAATAGAGTACGCGCCTACCACTTCAGTTTCTTTTGACCCCTATTCTGAATACGACGTTTGCTGTGCTGTTATTTGCAGGACATCATCGTCGTAACCATGGAATCGCCGTGGATCAAGATTGCGTCCCCGGCTTCGTCGCGACGCTAGCTACGACGTGGCTGAAGCGACATCGATATCCCCGACTTGTTACGGTGAAGGTTGAAAGTATCACCTTTCACCACCACTCACCACAGAGCCTCCTCCCTGGTAAAGGTTTGGTACAGGTTCGGTACAGGTGCGGTAAAGGTTCCCAAGGTATTTGGTTGGTACTGGCTCTCTGGTGGGGCAGCACGTGTTTCTTTCACGTTTACAGTCTTCATTTCCTTTTGCTTTCTTCACTTCCGTTTACTGACTTCATGTTATTTATTATACTTGCAGGTGCTATTGGAGGCTGCAAGGCGTTCTTCCGAAGCTTTCAGAGGAGCAACAGCTTTCGTGGCTCTCCATTCTTCAAGGCGTCCTCGGCCTCGTCGCGACGCCAGCTACGACGTGGCTGAAGTGTCATCGATCGACCAGAGGAGCAGAGGAGCAGCTCCACGAGTCGTCCTGGTGAAGGTTAAACGTATCACCTTGCACCACCACTCACCACAGAGCCTTCCCCCTGGTTAAGGTTTGGTAAAGGTTCGGTACAGGTTAGGTAAAGGTCCTTAGGAGGTTTTTTTTTTTTTTTTCGGTACAGGTTGGTACTGGCTCTGTGGTGGAGCAGCACATATTTCTTCACTTCGCAAAGTCGTTTTCTGCATGCTTTCTTCAATTCCGTTTACTAACTACATGTTTCTTCCTACACTCGCAGGTTCTAATGGAGGTTACGAGGCGTATTTCCGAAGACTCAAGAGGAGCAAAGGCCTTCGGGGTTCTCCATGCCTCATGACAGAGGAGCAGCTTCACGAGTGAAGGTTGAAGTATCACCCACCCTTCATACTTCACAGAGCCCCCCCCTGGTTAAGGTTAGGTACATGTCAAGGTTGGTAAAGGTTCCCCCTGAAGGTTTTTCGGTTGGTATCTGGCTCTGTTTTTTCACCACGCTTCTTTTCGTTTTACACGCTTTATTGCCCGACCTTTACTAATTCTTCTTTATTGCCATACCTGCAGGTTCTATCTGAGGGCCTGCTGCGATGACTTCAGAAGAGCAATCGTTTGGCGGCCGTCCATGCTTCGTGGCGTACAACAGAGGAGCAGCTCCAGGGCAGGTGAAGGTTGAACGTATCAGCCACCCACTCCACACTCCTCGGAGCCACCCCCCTTGGTTCAGGTCAAGGTGATGGTACAGGTTGAGGTTGGTAAAGGTCCCCCTAAGGTTTTTTTTTTTGTATTGGCTCTGTAGGCAGTGCACACTTGCACCACAATTTTTGTTCCTCATATTTACCTTCTATTCCTTTCTAACTCGGATTTTCTGACTTCACTTGGCAGGTTGGGGTTTCAGCATGTCTAAGAATCAAATGTATGAATGCACCATGGTCTGCTGAGGCATCTCAAGGCTCAACAACCATGAAAGATAAGTCATCAACTTCAGCGTTTTTCCTTGTGCTTCAACTCCCCAGTGACTGACTTGTTTATTTCGCCTCATGGCAGGTTCTCCAAGCGTCATCTACACGCCATGGATCCCCAAGACCTTGTGCACCGCTGCACACTCCACCAAGCCTAAGATCCATGGGATGGGAGCACCTTGGCGCCTGCTCTCGCCCCTCAACGGTCAACCATGGCGAGATATGTTTTCAACCTCAGCCATTTCCCTTTCTTTATCGCATTACTCCACACTGCTTACCCCTTTTGCTTTCACCCTTGCTGTCCTTTCAAGATCATGCCGGTCACTGACTTTGTTTATTTACCTCGTGGCAGGTTCTCTCCAAGGGCTCCCTGCACTCCCATGGAGCTCCAAGTCCTTGCGCACTGCTCAACACCTCCAAGTCTTTAACTTAAGATAAGTCTCTGCCCTTTACTTTGCACTGAGTCAATTCGCTGAATCTTTTTTATTTAGTTGTGTTCATCATTTTGCTTTGACGCATGCTGCATCCTTGCTGTTTTTAAAGAGCCCGGACTAATATTTGCCTCTTGTACCATGCAGGTGGAAGGCAGTGCGCGAGAGGGGGTGAAGCCTTGAGCATTGGCTGGGGACTCGACTCCGGGCCAAACAGGACTGGTTCTGTCCCCCTCCTCCCACACCACATGACAAAGCTGTCTGGCCATCAGTGATGTCATGTGGTGTGGGCGGGGGTGGGCAGAGCCAGTCCCTAGTAGGGCACCCGCACGTCTTGGTCCTGGCAATGCTCAAGGCCCAACCACCTTCTCTGCCTGTGCAGTACATTACCAGTCCATGCCGGGGTGGGCATGGATGGCATGCTGCCATGGAGTAGCTGTGGACCAGTGGTTGATAGGATAGACAGAATTGCATTGGCTCAGCTGTGTACCTTTGGATTTTATATGATTGTTTTACAGAATGTACACTAGTGTAGCGATACTAGTCTAGGTAGAGCATAGAATGTCTCAGCAATCTAAAAATATTCTGAAATAACGTAGTTCTAGCATGTCCTGTCTGTTTTTTCTGGCCAACACCATCTACTGCAGTTGAGCAACCTAGATTGAATTCTCACAATTGAGACATCATGTTTTGCTGGATGGAAAACCTGTTGCTCTTCCTAATCCTGGAAAACTTCGGAGAACTTTATTTACGAAGCCTTTTTGAATACCACGAAATCGCATGTCACCGCATTGAAGTGCGCTTTTATGATTCTGTGGTCTCTGCCCAGCCCATCCCCATCGCGGCTGATTCTGTGGCTGAAATGATGGGCGAACTCGGATCGCGCCTCATCGGGACAACCTTGAAGTTGGCGCGAGCAAACTCGTGACTCACATCTCTCGAGCAGGAATCCTCATCCCATTCCTGTTCCAAGGCGATAACTTGAAAGCAGAGGTCAGCTCGGCTCGCGTCGCGTAAGTATATAAGTAGAAGCGTTGGAAATGTCAATACTGCTGTCACATCGTAACGCAGACGCAGCGATTCTATGGCGAGTTCGGGTCGGGTGGTACGAATTTATCACCCATTGCCTGCTGCTCCGCGGGTGTTGCAGCATCTGCGCGTTCCAGACATCCCAGCCGTTTCGGAGCTCTGCCAGCCTTGAATCACGCGGCGTTTGTCACGAAGGGCTTGTCTATTGCCGTCGCGGGATGGTGAAGAAAGAGGGGGATCGGAAACGTCGCCGTGTGTATCGCTGCCCGGATTTCTTCGTGTCCACGGTTCCGCACTCGACGCGCGTTACGCAGTTTTCGCGCTCAAGTGCTGGACAAACTGATAGCGGGGTGGAGCATCGAGTGTAAGCGTCCGCTTTGTCTGAGCGTCGATATTCTCTCATGACGTCCAAAACGCTTAGCGGCTCACAGCAGCAGACAAGCAGGAGAGAGCAAGAGAGAGCAGCTGGCAGCAGCAGAGAGCAGCCGCATGCCTCGCCGCTGTTCCCTTCGCGCCGTTCCGCGCCTTACTCCGCGCCGATTCTTTCCGCGCGCCCACCCCTCGCAGTTCCGCGCAGTTTACTCCGCGCCGTTTTCTCCGCGCGTCGAATTTTTCCGCGCGTCTTCCCCTGGTCTGCTCCATCCGACGATGCCTGCGATGGGCGACGAGGCGTGCGACGACGCGGGAGCGTCGCTGCTGTGGCACGAGGGCGAGCCGGAGTGGGCGCAAGTGGCGGGCATGGCGAGCGACCTCGTCGTCACCATCGGCCAGCGCGCCTTCCACGTTCACCAGTACCCGCTGTACGCGTTACTAGCCTTCCACGTGCACCAGTACCTGCTGTACGCGTTACTAGCCTTCCACGTGCACCAGTACCCGCTGTACGCGTTACTAGCCTTCCTCTCCGTTCTCGGCACGCGTTCTCTGGCCTTTCTCCGTTCTGTGCACGTTTGCATCCGTCCTTCACGGTTCAGTCAGCTTCAAGCTCTCCCTCCTGTCTCCCCCGTTCCCCTCCTTTCTGTTCCTTCCCCCCGGCTCCCCCTCCCTTCCCTTCCCCCTCCCTTTTCTTCCCACTGCCTCCCCTTCCCCAACCCAGCTTCCCCCCCTTCCCCCCAGCTTCTCCCTGTCAACGGTGATAGCGAGCGCGGCAGCAGCAGCGGGCGAGGGCACGGGCCCCATGCAAGCGGGCCTCTCGTTCCTCCCTGGCGGCGCGCTCTCCTTGGTCCCCATCGCCTGCCACTGCTACGCCCGCCCCTGCCGCCTCTCGCCCCACTCCCTGCTGCTCGCTCGTGCGCTCCGCAGGTACTGTCGTCCCCTCAAGGTGGGAGGGCGGGATGGGGGAGGGCGGGAGTGGGGAATCATGGGAGTGTGGGAGTGATGCAGGAGTGTAGGAGTGTGGGAGTGAAGGTGATAATTTCGTTCGTTTTGTTCCGGGTTCTGCAACTAATGCTCTTCTCATCACCCCCATTTCTCAACCCAGTTAATTTTTACCTTCCTTCTTCTCAACCTCCCTCCTTCTTACCTTCCCCCTTCTTAACCCCCCCGCTTCTCACTCCCTCCTGCTCCCCCTCCCCCGTGGGCCCAGCAACGCACTGCCGATGCCGCTGCTAGCCTCCCAGCGAGAAGAGAAGATGGGGAGCGGGATGAAGCTCACGCAACTGGCCGCCCTGCCTGCTCGTGCTCTCATCGTATGTCTGAAGAGGCGGGGGGGGACGCGGGGAGGGAAAGGGATGGGAGAGGAAGGGAGAGGTTAAGAGGAGAGGGGATCGGAGGGGAGGGGATGTGGGGGGACGGGGCGGGGAAGGGAGGGGAGAGAAGGGGCTGGGATGGGATGAGATGAGTCGGGGATGAGTCTCACTGCTCTCCTTTACACACTCTCTGTCACTCTCACCCCACTCGCTGCTACGCACACTGGTCATCTCCCATCCGTCTCCCCTCCCTCCCACTCCCCTCTCACACTCTCTCCTGACCCACCTGTGTGTGTCATTCCATATTGAACTTCCGTCCCCAACCCTCGTGTCTCTCACGCCTCTATGTCTCTCCTCCCCTCCCTTCCTAACAACCCTCCTCCCCCCCTTGTCTCCCCCTCGTCCTCTCCCTTTCCCCTCATCAGTTGCAGCGCCCTGCCACCGTCCAACCGGGCCAGGGCTGCTCGTGCTGCGGCTGCTGACGCTGCTGCTCGCCCCACTCCGTGCTGCTCGTGCGCTCCCCTTGTAGGCATGGGGATGGCGGGAACGGGAAGGGCGGGAGGGCAGGAGGGGAGAAGGGCAAGAGGGCGGGAATGTCGGAGTGAGGGAATGGAGAGATTTGGAAGTGCGGAGTATGGAAGTGCAGGTGATAACCCTGCAACGCATGCTCTTCTCATCCCCCCCTCTTCTCATCCCCCCCTCTTCTCATCCCCCCCTCTTCTCATCCCCCCCTCTTCTCATCCCCCCCTCTTCTCATCCCCCCACTCTTCTCACCTCCCCTGTTCTCAACGCCCTCTTCGCATCCCCCCTTCTTCTTACCTTCCCTCTTCCAAATATCCCCTCTTCTCACTTCCTCCACTCCCTCCCTCTCCCCTGGGGAGTGTGGGAGTGGGGAGTGGGGAGTGGGGGTGGGGAGTCTGGGCCAGGAGTGCACATATGATGACCTCGTTTGTGTTGTTTTATCTCCACTCACCTTGCCCCTCCATTGCCTCCCCCTTGCCTTCCCTGCAACCCCCCTCTCCCTCCCCCTGGCAGCGTCACTACTGGAGATGAACGCGTGTGGGCCCAGCCACTTGCTGCCGCTGCCGCAGCTGGCCTGCCAGCGGGAAGAGAAGATGGGGAGCGGGATGAAGAGCTGCTGACAAGGGAGGGGATGAAGAGCTGCTGACAAGGGAGGGGATGATGAGCTGCTGACAAGGGAGGGGATGAAGAGCTGCTGACAAGGGAGGGGATGAAGAGCTGCTGACAAGGGAGGGGATGAAGAGCTGCTGACAAGGGAGGGGATGAAGTTCAGCCAGCTGGCCTCCCAGCGCCGGCAGCACCTCCTGCAGCTCTGCCCGCCCTGCCTGCATCAGCATCATATCAGCATCAACATCATATCAGCATCAGCATCATATCAGCATCAGCATCAGCATCAGCATCTGCGATGAGAGGATTACCTTTTTTCCTTCTCCCCTTCACACACTCCCGTTCACTATCACCCAACCTGCACTTGCTGCCTCCCACCAACCTGGTCATTCCCCATCCGCCTCCCTCCTACTTCCCTCTCATACTCTGCATTTTTCCTCATTCACCCCTCCAACCCCTCCCCCCTTTTCTCCCTTCCCCCATCAGTTGCATCCCCCTGCCACCCTCCAACGACACCAGATCTGGACGTTTGAATGCCCGCAGCAAAGGTTCTCTGTTTGTGAAGTCTGTACCCATCTAGCCTATGGGGATATCCCCGTGGCTACTGATGAACTCGACTGGGTCTCTGAATATGCAAAATGCTGCCTCGAATCCGACTCAGCAATCCATTGTGTCCATGCCTCCATCCATTTCATGTCTGAAGAGCCCTGCCTAGCAATTCCTTTGGCCCACCACTCTGTCTCTCCATGCTTTTCCTATGTTCCCAAACACAGTCCCTCTTTTATCGCTTTCTCAGAAAATCAGTACGCCTACCACCCAGTTCTCAGCAGTTAGATTGACCCAATACACTGACAAATTAGAGTAGAAGAAATGTTCAGAGATTTAATTACATTGGGTTTAACTTCCTCCTTCACTGCTGTCCACTGTTCTAATGCCACCTGTTCCTTATATCAAAGGTTTCACCGTCATGTAAACTGGTGTTTTCATGAATCTCATCCCCAAGGAGATTTCCGCGGACCTGCACCCACGTGTCATCCCCGAACCAAACAAACCTCGGAAATCGCATTGACGAAAAGAGTTGTGTTTTAGCGGGAAAACGGAAGTGTGCCTTGGGATTGGGATGATGTTTCTGGTTCACGCAACATCGGTTTTGTCAGGTGCTTTACGGTGCCAGAGGTTTGGTGTACCGCTTCTTACCACATCAACACTTACTGAACCGCATTGATAGTGAAAGCGTAGATTTTGCCGGGGACGGCACCGAAATTGTGGGATTGCCTTCTCAGCGCACTGCAAACCCGCTGGAATTGTCAGAACCGTGTTCAACCAGATTCGACCCTCCGTCACACATCTGACCTACCTGCATTTTCCCTTGCCACACACACTAGACCCCTACACAGCCAGGCTGACGAAGCGTTTCGCCAAACAACAGCAAAACATTTCGCGAAACACGTCTCAGGAAATCTTGACAATCCGATAATCCCCCAAACCAATCGCAACACGACAATGGTTACCTGTGAGCTCGCCGGTTCGCGAGAACACATCTTCTCCAAACGGATGATGTTTATTTCAGCTCCTCCGTTCCCTCTCTCACGCTGCCGCTTCTGTCAGACGACCCTAACAAATCTTTCCTGCTTTAGAGCGGTTCCCTCCCAACTCTCCTGCTCCAGCCACCTGCCATGCGTTAGAGCGGTTCGCCTTGGCTGCACGCTTCGGGAAACGATCGGCGCCGGTTGGATTAGCGGCTGGCCACGTCACTAGATTTTTGGAGTCGGTGTTTCCAACCATACTTCGTATTTGGCCGTTCAAACAGCCTACATGTCCCAAACTGGAGACACATGATATTTTTTTGATCGCGGATTACAGCTTCCACACTGGGCGGCCCAATCAGAAGCTGGAGATAGTGCTGATGTCGATGCTGTTCCGATCCGCCGAAGTCCAGGGTGGCATATTTGGGACCACCACTGAAGCCAGCAATGCAAAATCCCAACGGTAGCCTGTTTTCACCACGTCATTAAGCCCAACGGTCCGCAATCAGACGATCCGCACGGTCATCAGGCTCAGTCTGATTCCAGACTCTTCGACTCGGAATTTTAATTCGTCTCCGTAGCATCCTTGCCATTTTCGCCAGACGAGCTTGGCTCTACCACTTCCGCAGCATCACTACCTTCTCACGTTGTCACCGGTCAACCTGGCATTGGGTCGCAGAGCTTCACAACCTTGATCATGGGAGTTTTTGCTACGTTACCTAGTAAACTTCGCCTGCAGATCCCGATTTCGTCTATGACGCGAGGTACAACAGTTATCCGGATTTCGTTTCCGTATAAGCAATCTGATTTCGTTTCAGTAGGTTCGCGCGTACCACTTCAGTTTGTTTCGACCCAGATCCTGACTAAGACGTTCGTTGTTCTACAATGCGCAGGACATAATTGTAATCATTGATTCGTTGTGGATCTGCATTTTTCCTGGACATCGTCGCGACGCTAGTTACGACGTGGCTGAAGCGACATCGATATCCCCGACTTGTTACGGTGAAGGTTGAAAGTATCACCTTTCACCACCACTCACCACAGAGCCTCCTCCCTGGTAAAGGTTTGGTACAGGTTCGGTACAGGTGCGGTAAAGGTTCCCAAGGTGTTTGGTTGGTACTGGCTCTGTGGTGGGGCAGCACGTGTTTCTTTCACGTTTACAGCATTTCCTTTTGCTTTCTTCGCTTCCGTTTACTGACTTCGTGTTATTTATTATACTTGCAGGTGCTATTGGAGGCTGCAAGGCGTACTTCCGAAGCTTTCAGGGGAGCAACAACTTTCGTGGCTCTCCACTCTTCAAGGCGTCCTCGGCCTCGTCGCGACGCCAGCTACGACGTGGCTGAAGTGTCATCGATTGACCAGAGGAGCAGAGGAGCAGCTCCACGAGTCGTCCTGGTGAAGGTTAAACGTATCACCTTGCACCACCACTCACCACAGAGCCTTCCCCCCCGGTTAAGGTTTGGTAAAGGTTCGGTACAGGTTAGGTAAAGGTCCCCAGGAGGTTTTTTTTTTCGGCACAGGTTGGTACTGGCTCTGTGGTGGGGCAGCACATGTTTCTTCACTTCGCAAAGTCGTTTTCTGCATGCTTTCTTCAATTCCGTATACTAACTACATGTTTTTTCCTACACTCGCAGGTTCTAATGGAGGCTGCGAGGCGTATTTCCGAAGACTCAAGAGGAGCAAAGGCCTTCGGGGTTCTCCATGCTTCATGACAGAGGAGCAGCTCCACGAGTGAAGGTTGAAGTATCACCCACCCTTCATACTTCACAGAGCCCCCCCTGGTTAAGGTTAGGTACAGGTCAAGGTTGGTAAAGGTTCCCCCTGAAGGTTTTTCGGTTGGTATTTGGCTCTGATTTTTTCACGCTTCGTTCGTTTTACATGCTTTATTGCCCGACCTTTACTAATTCTTGTTTGTTGCCAAACCTGCAGGTTCTATCTGAGGGTCTGCTGCAATGACTTCAGAGGGCCTTCCATGCTTCGTGGCGTACAACAGAGGAGCAGCTCCAGGGCAGGTGAAGGTTGAACGTATCAGCCACCCACTCCACACTCCTCAGAGCCACCCCCCCTTGGTTCAGGTCGAGGTGAAGGTAAAGGTTGAGGTTGGTAAAGGTCCCCCTAAGGTCTTTTTTATTGGTATTGGCTCTGTAGGCAGTTCACACTTGCACCACACTTGCATCACCGTCCGTTTCTGCTTGATTTATTCACTGCTTTTTACTAACGTAGTTCCCTTGATCTCCTTGCAGGTTATGGCCCTTGTACCAAGCTCCAAGGCAACAGCACCTGGCAGGTGCCTCCTCTCTCTTCACTACCAGTAAGTCTCGTTTGAAGTCACTTGTTGCATGTTGTTTCGTTTTCCTTCATTGACTATTCCTTTCTAACTCGGATTTTTTGACTTCTATTGGCAGGTTGCTTCAACAACGCGTTTCAGCAGGCCCAAGAATCAAGATCCATGGGAGCTGGTCTGCTGAGGCACCTTAAGGCTCAACAACCTTGGAAGATAAGTCACCAACCCCAGCTTATTTCCTTGCTTTTATCGCTCCAATGCTCCTCTGCTGCTTACTCCAAGCATGCCGATTCCTTCTTTTTTCTCAGCTCTTGCTTTCTGTTGCTGTGTGATTTTGAATTTACTTGATTTACTGACATGGTTTATGTTTA